AGGAATTAATGTTGTCAGGATTCAAACTCTACCTCCAAATACTTCAGAGACTTGAATGGGAAGATTTTCACCACAGACTGAAGTCTCACTTCTGGCAGGTTGATGAGCTGCATTATACAAAATAAATAAATACATCAGATGCACATGTTGTAAACAGGAAAACAAACAAGACTATAGGTGATACATATGTAAGTGATAGTGACCTGTATTTACACCAGAGACTTTTTCAAGGTACAAATGCTGTAGGTAACGGGAGACCACCTGACCCAATTTTGAATCTCCTAGCCCACCTTGAGAGAAACAGTCTTCTGCAGGACATCAAACAGGAACTGCAACTGTAGCAGGAAGGCTGTGTCAGCAGGATGGGAAGGCAGTGCCAGGAAGCCTCGCTGCTGGCTCCTAGACAGCAAGTGCTGTTCAAACAACCTGGTGAGCTGCTGCAAACTGGCTGCCAGCAAGGACAGTGTGCTGCTGCCATCCAGCACCAGGTCACCTGGAGGATGACAGAAACAACTCATATGTGTCTAAGAAATGTTGCAGCTAATTTAAATCCACAGCAAGTTTTTACAATTTTGTTATAACAAGTATGACCTTGTATTACGAGATCAAGTGTCGTCTAACGCGCCTTATTCTTTATTCTATCTTTGGATCCCATTAGCTTCCACAAAAGGTCATTTTTCTGGGGTCCACACAAAAACAGTAACATTAAAAACAGACCACCTTACTACTAATTTGGCTGAGATGTACGGGATGACATGTAGCCCTGATACACTCGGCATTACACTGTCTCCCAAACCGCTGCGGTATTTAACAACACTTGTGGTATACAGTAGTGTAAGAGCACAAGCAACATACCATCATTTCGGAGGAGTGTGGCCAATCTGTATACAAGGGAAGACTGACCAGAATGAGATACATCCATCCTGTAACGTTTCAAACAAAGCAAAATGTTAGCACGACTATATACTGTACCAGCAGAAATAAACAGCGCCTCTTAGCAGCTGTTGTATAACCTTTCCTTAAAAAAGAGAACTTGCAGTTTCAGTTGTTCCTTAAGCTTTCAGTAACACTGTAACTGAGAATACATCTGCAAACTCACGACGCAACTCTATCAAAACAAACATTTTGTTGATGTGACATTGTACTTTGATTTCAGTTTCCCTTTACAGGAACACTGGCTAATATTAGCATTCAAAACGTAACGACAAGCTGCCGCAGCTATAACGTTTCCGCAGTTAATGTAGCTAAGCTAAAACGACACATCTCGATAATGACAGCCAAAAATAGAGATTTAACATCAGGTTCTTACTTCAAGAGGTCAGTAAAAAAAACATGTTAAGCTTTGCAGATAAACAGAAACGAAGATCATGTAGTAGCGTTTTGATATACTAATGCAGCACACAGTGATGTTGACATTTTTTGTGTCACATGACGAGACGCCTACGGTGGCCCTGATATACCATAAATGATGTTCAATCCAGAAAACACGCTGCCTCTGCACGTCCCATAATGCAATAATTAGTTTTTAATTAATTTTTGCCCCATTGGTGCCTATAATTAGAGCTTAATTCCTCGTAACAAAGAAAGGGCCATTTTTAGACCATATGTTTTCCTCACCAAAACTGCTTGATAAGTATTGTCTCATATTATATTGGCAGCTATAATATTCAAATAAAGTTCATTCTTTAAAATTAGATTCACCCCCAAACCACACTAAATTAGTACATTTTTATGCTGTTTCTTTATTGTGGGTTGATAAAACTGCAGCTGGCCACTGGGTGGTGCACTCTAGCAAAGAGCACGGAACATATACACACACATCCATGATTGCAAGTGAAAAAGATTCTTAATTCATCCAACCTTTTATATCTTGGAAAAGCTAGAAGGGTGTTATGCATTAGTAGTTTACATATACATTTTTACTATGTCTCCAGTCAAAGCAAATGGTCCATATTTCATCCATAAAACCTAACAATGTGTCACATCTTTCATGTTCAGACCCTTTAAAGGGCAATATTAAAGCTTTTGTGCTTTGCAATTTTTAATACCCAAGCAGAAAAGTATACAATTCATTGTGGCTGAGGTTTTAATAAATGTCAGCTGTCAAATTGATCAGCTCACACCACACGCCTGCTGGCAGATATTGGTCAAACTCTAACCTAGTCATGACACCAATAATAAAGGCAAAGCTGCACATTTGCTTGGCCATGGAGTGAGTGTGATTTAGGGTCACTTTGCATGGCTGCAGAAAATAATTTCTGAATAAAGCAGATTAAACAGTTTTGATTGGTGCTACATGTACAAAAACTCAGCTATCATGCAAAACAGCCCACAGGCCAACTTGTAATAAAATGTCAGACTTCATGTTCATTTGATGTTGCAACAAACAAGTCAGCAGCAATAGAAAGAAGATTTTAAGATTTTCAGGGGACACCATGAAAGATACATCTCTTAAATGTTATTGCTAAGATGGTGGCGATCCCAACATTGTTATAGGTAAAACAGTAGCCTTTCAGTGTCAGTATACCTCTGACACTTAGCATATTGCTAGGCTGAGAGCTTTAATGTCTGGACTCTATAACTGTAAACCTGCACATTTACTCACCACTTCAGGTGAGCAGTTTTCGCAGGTCTTATCTTGTTTCATTTGGGAATACTGTAACTCTATGGCTCCATAAGAGATTCTTTGCAAAGATTTGCATGAGCAAATAAAGCAAAAATTTTCCTAATTTACACATCACTTGTTGCTAGACAGCAAACAGACTAACACGTGGGACAGACACACAAAACACACTCCGACTTGTGACTTGTTATGCATAGATTTCCATGTAAGGATTTATGTACTGTAATTTGGTAAACATTTCCATTCAGTAAGATGTTGCATGTTGCACTCATGCACTGTTGGTTAACTGTGCATGCGGGAAAACTAGCACTAACATTGACACCTACACTTCCTCTGTGCTGGACTTTATTAACACTACCATTGACAGTCTCACAACCCAGAAACAGGTCACCACGTACCCAAATCAGAAGCCATGGATGAACAAGAAGGTGCAGCTCCTGCTGACTCTGTCTTCAGATCTGGTGATGCACGGGCCTACAGCTTATCCAGGGCAAACCTGAGAAGGGGCATCAAGAAGGCCAAGCACCACTACAAGTTAAAGGTCGAGGAACACTTTACAAACTCCGACCCATGATCTATGTGGAAGGGCATCTGTGTCATTAGTGACTACAAGCCCGGCAAATCCACCCCAACAACCACAGATGTTTCCTTCCTCAATGAGCTAAATGACTTCTATGCTTGCTTCAACCGAGACAACAAGTTCACTTGATACTCACTCACCTCCACTGACATGTATGCTGCTCTGAGCCGGATCAGCATACGCAAAGCTGCTGGCCCTGACGGCATCCCTGGACGTGTGCTCAGGGCATGTGCAGGACAGCTTGTTGGCATCTCTACAGACATTTTTAACCTGTCCCTCGCCCAAACAGTTGTGCCGACATGCTTCAAAACCACCTCCATTGTGACCAGTGCTGAAACATTTCACCCTGGCATGCCTGAATGACTACCGCCCTATAGCACTCTCACCCATTGTCATGAAGTGCTTCGAGCGCCTGGTCCTGGCATGACTAATGACCTGTCTTCCATCCACACTCGACCCCCACCAATTTGCCTACCACAGGAATAGGAGCATGGAGGACGCAGTCTCCATAGCACTGCACAACAACAACAACACTTATGCAAGAATGATGTTCGTGGAGCTCAGCATTTAACATGGTCATCCCCTCCAAGTTAACCATCAAACTTGGTGACCTGGGCATCAGCACCTCCCTTTGCAACTGGATTCTGGACTTTCTGACCAACAGGCCTCAGCATGTTAGGTCAGACAACACCTGCTCCTCCACCATTATCCTCAACACCAGCATACCACTGGGCTGTGTGCTGAGCCCATTCCTCTACTCCCTTTTCACCCATGACTGCAGGCCTGTGCACGGCTCCAACACCATCATCAAGTTAGCAGACAACACCACGGTGATCAGTCTTATCAGCAACAATGATAAGTCAGCCTACAGGGAGGACGTACAGCACCTGGCTGTGTGGTGCGCTGACAATAACCTGCTCCTTAACACCGACAAGACCAAGAAGCTCACTGTGGACTACAGGAGGGGGAAAGTAGGCACATACGACCCCATCCATATTAATGGGATGGTTGTTGAACGTGTCTCCAGCCTCAAATTCCTGGGGACCAACATCTCAGAGGTTCTGTCCTGGATCACCAACACCCGCAGCTTGATTAAGAAGGCCCACCAGACCACCTCTTCTTCCTGAGGGCACTGAAGAAGAACCACCTGTCTTCAGCCATCCTGGTGAACTTCTACCGCTGCGCCATAGAGAGCATCCTGACCATCTGTATCACAGTCTGGTATGGAAACTGCTCTGTGTCCGACCACAAGGCACTGCAGCGGGTGGTGGAAACTGCCCAGCGTATCACAGGGACTCCACTTCCAGCCTTGACGGTGTCCACAGGGAACGCTGTCTCTGACGTGCTCGCAGCATTCTCGAGGACTCCTCTCACCCTGCTCACAAACTGTTTGACCTCCTGCCCCCTGGGAGATGCTTCAGGAGCCTCGGGACCAAAACCAGTAGACTCAGGAACAGCTTCTTCCCCACAGCTGTCTCCTTACTGAACTCCGTCCCCCGTTGACCCCCCACTGCCTTCCTCTATACCACTTCACACACCTCACCCCTTCTCATCTCTCCTCCCAGGACTAATGCAATACACTTCTGTTACCTGTAAAACTGAAGTGATCTGGTAATTTGCACATACTCTACTCACAGAATACTGCTCTGTACTCATTTGCATACTGTTCATATGCAGATACTGTATATTTATCTTTATCTTTGCACTATTTACATCCATTGAACTGTTCACTAATGTAACTTATCTTTTTATTCTGCACCGTTTCATTCCATTTTATCCCATTGCACTAGTGTTCTATAAGCTTAATGTACCTGTCCGTTACTTGTAATTTGAATCCATAGTATTACACTCAAATAACAGTTTTAAAGTTAGTTATCACTGACCTTGCATGTGTGTGACACATGATCATTAAAATCTCAAATTCCTCAGAAATGTGTTATGTTCTGAATGTAACTTCATTTCATACAGGCCTACTATACAGATGATAAATACTTTTCCAGCCCATGCCACTACTTGTTGCTTCTATTTATCCAATCAATTGTGCAAGCAAAGTGAGACTTAATTGACTTATCAAAGCCAAACACTAAAAAGTGCATTAATCCATTATCATAGCCTGAAAAATGAACAACAGAATATCTTTAGGGACTTGTTTCAGTTTATAAGAAGCAAGCATAGAACCAAAATTGCTCCTTAGAACACAAGGTAAAGTGGATTTCTAGGACACTACAGTATTTAGACCATTCTGCCTTTTAAGAAGGCTGTTGTCACAGTTGTCTTCCCGCTGGCCTGCTGTGAGGCTTTGCTGTTACCAGCTCAAAATTAGCTGGGTAATGTGCAGCATTACAAACATGAATAGCCTTGTAAGTCGTTTATGTCACCACTAGATTGATTAGGACTAAAATATATGGCCCATTCTGAGAGGTTATTTTGGACTGAACATTTTACAGCAACATTTTACTTGAGCAATGTGTTTCCATTTAGATATTTAGTTGTTTATTCATTTATAGTCACTCGCTTAGTGTTAACAGTGGTTTCCCTCCTGCGTGAATTATATTACATGATCTCTGACTTTGCTAAAACAGTCACTGTTAATTATTTATAAGTAGTATATGAACATTTATATCAATATGATGTAGTTGTACACAGACTTAAGGTCATTTTTAATTGTTTATTCATGTATTTGTCAGTAACTCTAATTCATCATGAAGCATTCATAACTGCTGCCTAAACAGAAAATGAATGTTCGATAACATAATAGAAGCCATCATATATAACAATATGCCATTAATTCTTCTTTAAATCATTGTGCACATGTTACAAATGCTTCACAAGATGGAAAATAATTGTCACACTTAACACATCTCAGAAAATTAGGTGCTTATATAATGAATGCAAAATAGAGATTAAAATACGGTGTTATAATATGGTTACAAGGCTGTGCAGAGTTTTGGGGGCTTATTTTACTGTAATAAGGAGATGATTTCTTGCAAAGAAGACTCTGTTTATACTCGCTGAGGTACATGTACTGTATGTGTCCTCAGTCCATCAGTGATCCTGTACCTTCCTCTATCAATGTGGAGTTTATCCAGAGTTTGTATTTTCTTAACAGTTCCACGGGGAGGAATTTAAGTAAGTGACCTTGGTGGAGATTACTTTGCACACATGGGCAGATACTGTGGCCTGTCAGGCCAATTGGCTAGTGGCTATGCCAGACACAAATCCTCACCCCCAGGCTTGTATTCAATCCATGGTTTCATAAAATGACATACAAGGTTCTATGTGCAAACAGCTCTCTGGTCATTCCCCTGACTCATGCTCCAAGACAAGACAGCTTCAAGTGTGCCCTTTTTCCCACCCTCTCTGCCCCTAAGGTGAGCTAGGATGCCGACCTTGAATAAAGCCAAATAGTAATAAAGGGGCACCCACACAACTAAATAATCTGCATCTATATCTGCAGAATAAAATTACACATGGGAGTTCTATTCCTCGGCCCTTGGATAAACAGAGTAGTCCACCACACTAGACAGGGTTAATAGGAGCTTGTTTGGTGGACAAGCACAACACCTCAACGCTGGAGGCCTGCTGCTATAAACGTGCATAGTGCACTCCGCCAGGAGAGTTGGTAGCTGCTGGTGATTTTTTTGTTGACTGTCAGTGGACATATCAGCCACAGTTAATTTCTGTGCTTGATTATCTTATCTGATTATGATGCGGTGATGAAGATGGCGGTGTTGTTGGTGGACTGCTGTCTTAAATACTTTGCCAAAAATGCTAGAGTCAGAAATCATGTAGGAGATCACATCAAGACCCAGTGAGATGAGAGCCCTCCATCTGATAGATAGACAGACTCCAAAAACAGTTCATATCAACCAAATTTTGAGGATATTATAAAATAATACATAAGGACAACAAGTTCAAGTCTGATCTAGTCCATTATTTGTGTGACTGTCCCCTATGAGGGAACACTGGGCCAGTGCTACAAATTCAGGCAATGTAAACTTTTAAGGAAATTATTCTGGCCTATATAAGCCAAATAAAATAATATATAATGAGCAAAATAGCACTATCCCCTTTGAATATTCTTTGTAATTTCTGCCAGAAATCCTAAATTAACACCCAAATGTGGCCCTGAGAGCAAACCTGGGAATTCGTAGGACCCAGCAGACCTCCCAGCCCCGGCTTCACCTGTTTGCATGCACATTTTTTCACCATTTTTTCACTTGGGATTTTCTTTCGTAGCCCCGTGATAATGATCAAAAACCACATGCCTATAACAATGCTGTCGTACGTTACCTGCAGTTTGCTGATCCTCTTCGCGGCTGTCGCCGGTGCCTCCCTGGCCGAGATGGTGTTTCGCTGCCCGGGCTGCACCGCGGAGCGCCAGGCGCTGTGCCCAAAGCTCACCGAGACTTGCGCGGAGATTGTGCGCGAACCGGGCTGCGGGTGCTGCCCCGTGTGCGCCCGGCAAGAGGGTGAGATGTGCGGCGTTTACACCCCGAGGTGCTCCACCGATCTACGATGCTACCCGACACCCGACTCGGAGCTTCCCCTGCAGCAACTGATGCAGGGACAGGGGCAGTGTCGGCGCAAAGTGGACACCACTGAGACGACCACTTACAGCCAGGAGAACCGGGAGCAAACCAGCGGTCAGTCAGTTTAATGGAACCTGCTCTTCTTCTATCAAATTTTAATGACGCTGTCTAGACTGCAGCTTGAGGGATAGTGTAGAAATACTGCATTGCCAAGTAAGGCTCAGCCCAAATAGAGGGACTGTTACTCAATAGTGGAGTTCTAGTGACAATTGTGCGCTTTATTGCATAATATTCCGAAGGGACTGTTATGATATTACCTATAGCTTTGCTTTTATGTCTACAGTGCTTCTTTTTAAAGTTTGCTGTGTGAATCTCAGCCCTTTTGGAGCCATTTTAAAGCCGTTAGTATATTGCTCTTGTCTTTGACGGGACATTTGAGTTGTAAAATGTCTTACCTTTTACTGTAGAGAAGACATGATTTATATTTCCATAAGGTATTCTTACACCCATGTCAAGGTATGTGTTTAATAGACCCGCTTAAAGCGTTGTAAACCATCCTGGTGTGCATGGGGAGAGAGAAACAAAAGGACCAAGTTAACCACAGCAGTGCTCCAAACAGTTGGCCCTTCAGTCTTTCCCATCATCCCTTCAAAAATATGCCTGTAAAACAGAGAACAAGGTAGTGGCCTGCAAAATCCCCATAAGTTGTACTCAGTGGGATGGACACAGAAAACATCTTAGTATTGTTGTTGACATTTCCACAGGGGAGTGGAGAGAAAGAAACAGAGAGACAGCGGGAGGAATGCTGCATTGATTGGAAAAGTGGACTTTAGTTTTTGACCAGACTATGAACTGCTAGTGACAGTTACTGGGTTGTCTACCTGGAAAATGTACTGGATGTATGTACAGGATGAGGACAGTGTCATGCAGACTGGACACAGCAGGACTTTGGTTTGTTTTTAAACAAAGACAAGTCACAGAGAAGCAGAAAAGTAGAGCACCTCATTAAATGGCAAACTTTGAGGGAGCAACTGCGCACAGGCAAGGAGTGTCCTGTAGGGCCGGTCGGGATGATTTCTACTTATTTCCAAACCTGAGCTTTGTCAGTTTACCTCCAGACTGACACGTTTATTTTGGCACTAAACCCTGGAATATAGAGAAACTACTGCTGACAGCATTGAGAGTAAGACTGTTCCCTGTAAGGACTGTCTAGCACACAGACAAAAGGTCAAAATGCTTGACAACACATTTTGCCTAAAATGTAATAATCAACTATGTCAATGCCTTAATTCCACATTTATAGGATGTATAGCAACCTTTGGTTGGAAATGTTTATTTTTATAGCCCCATCCAGAAAATAACAGACAACTAATACATATGAAGTGCTGAGTTATAAAACAAGACAGCAAACTACATGGACACATCATGTAAAGGTTTGCTTTGCAAGAAGGCAGTTTGTTAGATATTGCAGATTTTTTGTTAGATGTGGAGTTGGATGTGTTTAAAAAGACTAAAAGCTTAGAAATTGGCTCTAAAGGCAGAATGCAGAATTTTGGATAAAAGCCTTGCTGCTGCAGATAGAAGCAAACAGAAAGAGAAGTAGTGTTGCAGTGGAGTTTGCAAATTTCTTAAGATCAAGAGATGAAAGAAAAAGATAGTTTTCATTAAAGTGGGGCTGAACAAGTCGCAAAAACTTCTTCTTCTTGAGTCAAAACTTCGATTCAATTCAAAATGTACTCACATAATACCGAATCAAAAATGTGTTGCCCATTTACTCATGTCCCATTTGTACTCTTCAGTTTTTGTAATGAGGCATTATGAACTTACTGTTGGTGTTACAGATGATTACAGTCAGTCTCCTGCTTTCATCTGGTCCCGTTTGAGGCTACACAAAATTGATTTCCTGTAATAAATTCTTGTAAGATGCAGAGGGAAAAAAGGGAAGCAATGAAATCCCTGATAGGAATCAGCTCACAGGGGTTGTTGGAAGACTGAGAGCGAACATTAACATTCTGGCTACTGTCTATTGCATCTCTTTTGTTGAAGAAATGAATCTGTAAATTAGATTAAAAAAGGGGCTGTTTATAAAACAATAACCAAATGGTTGTGTTCAGCTGAGCTTGGGGAGCAGTGACTCTTGGACACATTTGACACCCTGGGTAGAGAACCATGGATGAGACACTACAGCTGCTTTATTTGGATATTTATAAACCCCAAGAGTCTTAAGTTCTGTTTTTCTATTTTATTTTAATCCAATCCTTTATCATTAAAAAAATGAAACCTCTAACAAGGAAAGTACACTATATCTTGCTAGAGTTGATATTTATACAGGTTTTATAGAACAAAAATTGATCTGATCTGGATTATCCAGAGTAGTTCTAACAGCAGCAGTAAAATCCCTCTAAACTCCTGGAACCCAGCTACAAACAGCAGAGAGGTTAAAGGTCAGACTTCCATATAGTATTTTAAAGCTCTCTCAGTACACCTTGAAGGTTACATTGCTGATGACATTGATTTTATCTGGAGCTGCAGAGCTGGGCTTGCAGATGGGAGCTCTTACTGTGACTATCCTAATTCAGCAAATAGTCGGTGATATTTCAGTGGTGCCCAGGCAGGCTTCGCATGAGACCACGCAGACATGTGGATCCACCAGCTGAACACTGGCAATGAAAACATGAAAATATGAAACTGGTTAAGTTGAATAAAACCAAAACCAAATCTTGTGCACTCTTATTTCCCCCCTGTGCCTTAAGCACATTTGTTTGTTTATGCATGCTGCATGATTGTCTGCATGTGTTACACTGCAGGCAACTGCAGTGAGAATTGAACGTGTGTTTTCAGTGATATAGCCTGAAAAAAATCACATTTACAATCCTGTCACTAAGTAGTTTTGAACTAATTATGTTCCAGAAGTAACTGATGAACACAGAGAACATTCTCAAACATCAGACCAAATTAAGGGCAACATAGTGGCACAGTATGTCCTGTGAAGCCCACTCTATTTTGAGTTTTTAATATTTGTATCAGACATTTGCACTCTGCCATGGCATTTCTTTTTGTAAGTGCTTTTTTTTTTAAAACATGCAACTTAAAATCTACAATTTTTACAAGGTAATGAGTATCTTGGGATGGTTTCAGCAGAAATTTTGATAGCTGAAAAGTCTCCTTATTCAGAACTTACACCCACAAGTTTCCCACTACCCCCTCTGTTTATGTACAGTATCACTGGATATTCTGTTCCCACAGAAATCTGGACCCAAATAAAGTTTCCTCTCATCAAATCAGATGCATTTAGTTGTTTTGACTGGGACCATACCGTATAGTGTATGATCTTGAAAGGGAAGCTGATTAATGAAGCGCATACTTACTGTAGCTGCTGAAATGTCACCTGAATGACAAAAAAACGATACAAAGGCAATGGTGCCCATTCTTTGGCATGAGATCCCATGAATGGGCGTTAATCCTCAATTCAACCTTTTGCTTTAGACTTAATGTTGCCCAAACATATCCAGAGTCAGTTTTACATGTTCAAAGTGTAATGTTGATGGTTTTGGCATAAACCTGAAAGAGTTTTTTTTTTTCTATCAGTGCTGTTATAAAAGCTGTTACAGAGAGGAAGATGAAGTGGAAAAACCTCCTGTGCCATCTGGCTGCTGAAATAACATTGTTAGCTAACAAGAGCATTCCTTTGTACCTGTGGGGGCGTCCAGACGGAGCCCATAGGACTGAAATAACTCCTCAATAATCCTCTCCGCACACACTCCAAAAACAAGGGCATTTGTGCCATCTTCCCCCCCGGGCGTCAACTTCATGTGTACCCATGCCAAGAATCTCCTCGTGCCTATTGAGATCAAAAATATCTTCCCACCCTCCTTTCTGGTCAAGGGGGATATAAGACAATGCAAACACTGTCTGAAATGTTCCTGACCCAGGAGGGATGTTGCAGGGAAGAGGGACAGTTTCTGAACGAGTTTCAATATTTTTAAATGATGAGATTAAAAAAGTAAAAGCTCCTATATTATGTGATGTTTCTATAATTTTCATTATCAGTTTCAATAAGACATCTTGAAATAACAATGGACATTTTTAAGTTAATACTATATTTCCTTGATATATTTTTGTATAAAGTATGCCAAATACATTTCAATAAGAAGAGATCAAATGAATGAGAATAACTTAATTTATTGTGTTGAGCAACAGAGTGAATTTGTTTTGGCAATTAGACTCCTGTGATGTGACGCATATATTCATTAGGCCCACATGAAGACAAAAGATCTAATGATCCCTTGGAGTCTAGATGCTGGTGATGGTTTGGAGTAATTCAGTTTGATGTATGTGTGTAATGCCAAATCATCTAAGTTATCTCGAGGCATAATAAGGTCTAGACCCGACAGTGTTATAGAGAGAAAACCAACAAATCCCCCTTGAGCAGGCACTTGGTCAGATAAGATGGCATGAGGACAGAAGGTGGAAGAACATTTGACAGAGTGGGGAAGCAGATGGCAGAGAAAAAGTGGCCTGAAATTAACAGCCCACGTCAATCCACTGTGGACAAGTGGAATGTGAGGGAAGAGATCTTTCTTACTGAACTTTCGTCCAAGCTTCACATATAAAACATACAATATTTGAGTATACTGTAGATATACGTTAACCTCTGAAACCTTTTTTTTTTTTTTTTACCTGTCCAAAAATGTGTGGTTGCAGTTTTTCAGTTCTCCCTTGTCTTCCCACTAACAATGGAACTGAGGAAGGTGTGGGTTGAAGCAAGCAATGCTCAGGTTCTCTAGAAACTCCATGCTCACTCACCCACATCCTTGGGCATGGTAGTACAAAAGAAAACTCAGGGAATCATACAAGTCATAGGATTCATTATGGCAATCCCTTCTAACCAGAGTTCTTTTCCAACCTAGTGCCTTTTCTTATGTTGTTGTCACCTGCATCATCATCATCATCATCAGATAAAAACCCTGGAATATCAGTTTTAATGTTACTTTTCTAACTAGATAGTAGGAGAAATAGTCTGTAGTTTGAAGATATCTCATGCAAAAACATTTAAAAACCTCTGTGAGTGGGCATCACCTTAAAACATGGATGTTGGACATTTTGGAGCCATCGAAGGACACATCATTGTTGTAATAAGATGGTGGCTAAAATCCAGGTTCTTAATCTCCAAGAGCTTTTGAAGTTTCTGTCCACCCACATCCCTCATATCCCTGCCCAAGCTGTTCAGACTGATTGTCAGTGTAATGCCCTACATGTTTGATGTGTTCCAGCTTGTCTCAGTTCATGTCCTAGTTTAGGTCCTGTACAATCACCTTAGATTTCACCCAGCAGTGTTGATAGAGAGCGAGATGCCTTGCCTACGTGCCAGAGCCTGTCCAAAACCTGCTTTTAGATGACCGTAGTTGGCCAGAAAGCCTGGAAGGTAAACATAGCTGCACTCTGCACATGCACTTTGAGTTTGTGTTTGTAATCCCACTAGGCCTTGTAATGGGTGAAAGACAGCAGCTACTCTAGGTGGTGCCTTCATTAATGTCTTAAGTGGCATATTACCCTTAAAGCTGTGGTAAGAAGTGAACTGGGAAAAATAGAATGTCTGTGTGCAGTTTGAGTACCTTTGTGCAAATCTATATTGACTATTGACAGATGGCTTTAGGTTATCTTAGCTGAGTTACTACAGGAGATGTCTATAGAATTAAGTCACATCTTAGATTAAGATTGTCATACAAATGTCTGCAAAGACATAAGAGATAAATCACACATCATACATATTCATGATGTTATTTCCTTTTTAGAAGATAAAAGTATGGAATTTTATGGATGGTCCAATGCACTTCCTGAATAGGGACAATTTATAACACACTGTAATGCATCAACAACTCTCGTTAAAAATTTCTAACAATGCACAGGGTTGTATAGCAATGGAATGCAAATCAGTTTTTTTCTTGCATAACCCCACCTGAAACAAAACAGGTTGTTAGCTTTAAAGTCGTTCCTTTTTCTATCATTCCATTCTCCACAAGTCTGCTATTCGCTCAGCTGACCTGAATCAGACATGACACTCCTGACCTTCGTACCATCTGAGAATTTGACATTGAGAAAGAAAGCCTCTTGGACCATTGTGTGAGGATTAACTCAAGCAGTAGAGTGAACAGTAGGCCTGCTGCTCTGTTGATACTGCTGATCCCCAGCCCACCACTGTGGAAAGACTTGTACTGCAAAGGCCTAGTACCCCCTGAAAGGGGAGTCCTGACCCTCTGCGTTTGTGTATGCATGTGCACCTTCAAGACAGTAGATTGCTGGTTTCACTACTTATAAATAGTCCCTTCATGTGAATGTCTCTGTGCATCCAGACTCTGTGTTGGAGTGAACGTCTCAGGTTTCCTTAGAAGAAAGGGAGTGATGGTAATATTGAACTTGGATAGTGTGGGGCTTATGTAAGACAGCAAAATAAAAGGCACCCCACCTCCCAGTATTCCTGAGTGTGTTGTGTGTTTATCTGTGCATCATGCGTGCATGCACACACACATGAGAGCACACACCTGATTTCAGTTGACTTTTGCCTCTTTTGTGAAGAAACTCAGTCTTCAAAGACCAGCCAAAGAGTGCATGGTGGAGCGTCACAGGGGAAGCTGAAGTCCAACAACACCAGATCTCTCCAATGGCAAAAGACGCCAGCACCTTGTTATTGCTTCTTTTGGAATTTCCTTTCTCCCATTTTCTCTTAGGCCTTTTGTTAATCATATTCTTCAACCGGATGTCAAATTTACCTCTTGCAGAGTGCAGAGAGTGCCTCTGAAGTCCACCACCAGTAACACACTCACTTTTATTCTCTTTCCTATGAACACCTTTCAACAAGTCTGCACGCTACAGCTAGACCCTTACATAATTTTGAAGTAATCACTCACTGCCCAACTATTTGACCTTGCCTACTGCCTGTGCTAATATCCCTTCTTTTCTTCAGGTGTCAAGTGAAGTATTGCAGAGGTGAAATTTGAGCTTTTTTGTGATCATGTTGCTTCTCAGGAATTTGTATAATTACATTTTTTTCACATCTACAATAAGCTGGTTTGGAGCGACACTCCTCCACTCCTGCCTTGACAGCCCTCAACTCCAAAATATGCTCTGTTGTCAGAAACAGCATGTTGGGTTGGACCTGATGGCCTCTCATATTGTTTGCTCCATCTGTTTGAATAGAGTTTTTTTTTAGGTTGTTGTTTAACAAGACTCTGAGGAGAGAGGGGATGGTCAAAGCCAATGAAAAGTGCCTGGAGGAACTCAGTGGATGACCATAGGGTTTTATGATATGGCCAGAAACAGTGCATGCAGTGTTTGTTGTTTCTTAAGAGCAGTGGAAAGTTTGCTACATGACTGTAGCTAAATGTTTTGTTCTATAAGTGTTTTTCCCATAGACCATGGACAACTGACCTTCTTCTCTTTATTGTTGTACAGGAATGGAAGTCATCTTGACTTTGCTGATGCAATTTTGGCTGTCACGATACTGGGTGTCACATTATAACATCCTTTTAATGTATACTAGCTCTTCTTGGATCCACTCAGATAGTAGATATTTTAGCCACTACTTGACACGGCAAACTGGGACTCAGTCTCATTGGGGTCCTGGGTCAAGTTTTGATTTGGAGTGTATCTTTGTGAGATCATTCATTGAGGATCTCTGTTTTAGGTTGAATTTGTCCTGTATTCTTCAAGACCAGAGATATGAGAACCTTAAATGCCTGTTGAGATCAATTTTTTATTTATCAACACTATCATCTTCTCAGGATTTCATTAGTTGCCACAAAGAAACCATGGAAACCTGACTATGGATAAAATTCAGCAGTGGCCAACATTTCTAAGCTCACAAGCTTGTTAACAGAGCTGCACAATTCTGTGAGAAAGGAAGGTGACTCAGTGATTGTGCTGATGCATTTCAGAGAGTTTGGACACTTCATAGCTTCCACCCCAACATTTTCTGTAGTAAAACAGTTGTTGCAAAACTGCCACAAACAAAATAAACATACCCACACAAATATGAACCTTAATCTAAAAAACATTGGGGGGTAGAAACATTAGAAAGCAGCACATGGGTGTAAAGGTTGTGCTGTGTGGAAGCCTTAAATTGTGCCAAAATAAAAAAACAATCATGCAGCTGAAAGAGTTGACCTCATTTGCCAGCTTTTAGATCCTGGTGGGCTCAGGTAAACTAGATCAGATGACAGCCTTCCTCAAGTTGGCAGTTCACCTTCTTGATCCAATCACTAAACACAGTGGGAAGAACAAAAAATACAGAACATTCTATTCTTTCCATTCTGTTTCCCTCCCAAACCTTCTCTTGTTCCCCTCCTTTTCCCCATGCATGCAGCAAAAATAAAAAGCAAATAAATACAAAGGGGGAAGTTTATTAAATTGCATAAAAATGTTCACAGCCACCACAAAATACCTAAAAAAGAAACTTTTATTTTCACTTTGCATTTTCATCATATTTATGAAATAACACTTACAGCATGCTATAAGTATGATCAGAAGAGAAAGGACTTCTCAATATTGTGTGACAATTCTTGCATTTTTCTCTGTAGTCTGTCAAAAAGCAGCAAAAGCTGTCATTTTACTTTCCTCAAGGAGCTCAGGCTGCAGGGTCAGGGTCACCTCTGCAGCTGGTAGACGCCCGTCTAGTCATTTCCAAAAACAGGAGACTAGCTCACACTTTATCACTCTGAAAAATGATCTGTGCAGTTTGGAGCTTATTGTGCCTCACTCTCAGCCCCTAAAATGCCCAATCCATTAGCAAAATCATGGCAAGTAGGCAGGAGGGTGCACAAAGAGGGCATCATGAAAATTCACAGGTTGAATGCATTTAAATGTCCATCATAGTGAGCAAGATGTTAAAATTATGTACTATCTAATTTTTTGACCCTGTAACACATTCTTGTTGGCAGAACTTTGTTTATAGTGTAATCTAAGTCAGAATAGTTTGGCAATACTGTAGAAATGTAGGATCCTTTTATTTAGATTTGATGTGGTGTCTCCACATCTGCAGGTGAGACTGTGGAGTCACTGCCTGAGCTCGGTGTGAGTGAGGTCCCGGCCATACGGAAGCCCACGAAAGAAGCCACCTGGCTGGGACCCAAGGAGAGCGCCGTCCGCCAGCACAGACAGGAGATGAAGGCCAAGATGAAGACCAACAAGGTGGAAGAGGTCAAACCTACTTGGCACAGACAGGTGAGACATAGCCGACCTTTTGTCCTATAGGGGAACTTGGAAAGAGCTTTTAAAACCAGGAGGAAAGTTACTAATGATTATGCTGAAGAAAAATCAGTTGGTTTGAATAATTATTTGTCAGACAGGTTTCATATATAGAGCTGGATTGTGTAAAGAAGACGCAGCTCCACAGGCTACTGAGGAATGGAAAAGAAGAGTGCAGTGTCGCCTCCCTCTGGTGCAAGAGCTGATGATGATTTGAAGCACAGTTAATGCTTAAAAGTGTGATAGTCATTTCAAATGCTAAAAAGGAAATATAGAAAAGACTAAATAAGCATTTTAAGAAAAGTGAAACTGGTAAGGCACAGATAAAAAAAATGGTCCCACTTCATTTTTCTTTCAGTCAAACTCTCCCACCATCTGCCACCATTTATTGTAATCAAAAGGCAGATACTTCCTGACCCTAAATACATCTGCTCTCCCTCCCAGAGACAGGACTCACAAGTGAACTCTGGGTCTTTCTGACCAAAATCATAGTATTTCCCATCTGCCATTAAGATGATTTAAAGGTCATCATTCTACTAGAAACTTTGTGAGAGCCTCAACAAGAGATTTGGCTGCAGTAAACTGTGAGGCAACCTGAGGTTATTGGTAGGAATAATTATTCATTACTAGCAAAAACTATGATTCATGTGCTCATTATAGAAGGCCCCTGAACTTTATCATGTGTTAGTCTGTTTGTGTGCAGAATGTGCATTTTACAGTATGTTCCCTGTCAAACATGTGCTGATTGCCTTGCCATCACATAGTGTTGATGAATCTTGGAAGAGTCTTTTATTGTGTGGATGGATGTTACTAAATGTCTGGACATCTTTAAAATTAGATTTTTAGAAAAAAAAGTTATGTAAAAGATCAGATGCTGGAGGCCAACTGCATTTGACCCATCTGTCACTGAAACCTGATGTTCCTGACACATCCAAATGCTGCTATAGGGGTCTGTAAACATGACTATTGTTGTTTTTGTTGTTTTCAAGACTCAGTGTCAGCAGGAGCTCGACCAAGTCCTGGAGCGGATATCCAAGATGCCCTTCAGAGATAACCGAGGTCCCCTTGAAGACCTGTATGCACTGCACATACCCAACTGTGACAAGAGGGGGCAGTATAACCTCAAACAGGTGATTCCAGACAATTTGGTAAACAGGGTGGTAAGCAGAGGGTCTTTCCACTTGAGGTGGGTAAAGCACCACTGTCACCAGTTTAAGGAAAAATCTGTTATAATTCCAAGTAAAAAAAAAGCAAAAACAGATGTTTTCCCCTTTAATGCCAATGTTCTCAGACTGTCGACTGAAAGAGAATTTGTTTTGTCCTTAATACATCATTTATAATGGGGAAAAATCGTTTGTTTACCATTTATTTTTGAGAAAACTATTACTCACTCTTATTTTAAAGATATCTATTTAAATAATGTGCTTATGGAAAATAAATGGGATAAAACCGAAAAATGTGGACTGCAAAATCTCTAGACATATTTGCTGTATATTTTCACACAGACATTACATTCATATGCACACGTAGGCCAGATCTATCTAAAATGATAGCAAACATCCAGAAATAAACTAAACTGGAGCCATTTGTGTTTCAGTGCAAGATGTCTCTCCATGGTCAGAGAGGTGAGTGCTGGTGCGTCAACCCTCACACGGGTCGAGCTATCCCATCAGCCCCCACTGTGAGGGGCGATCCCAACTGCAGCCAGTATCTCACAGAACTGGAACTGGAGCTCCCTGACATGGGCCAGATATAGTGTGGTATAAAACATTTAAAAAAAAAACTGTAAGGGAACAAAGAACATTTGAGTAAGCTATATATTATCTTTCTGCGGGTACGTGTTCATTTGATGATGCTGACATTTGAAATCTTATCCACCAAAAAGAACTAAATGATAGGATTCATCTTGCTGCGCAGCATGTGACTGCAGATAATTTGTAGGGGGAGCAGTAAAGATAAGACTCATTTTTCTCATAGAATATCAGTAGACCTCAGCTGGAGTGTCAGTGACTTCACTCACATTTGCTCTGTTATCATTGTTCTGTACTCTATATGTTTAAAAATGAAAAGCTTTCAACATATTTGGTGCTTTTAGGTGTGTTTTGGTGTCCTAGCTCGCAGAGTATTGTTATGCCTCATGTTATGCTGTAGGCTTCATATACACCTAGCTTTTAATCACAGTATTAAAGATGAAATGTAGTACATGCAGTAGGAAGGACATGGCTTTAGAGTGCCTAGTGATTAACATATGATGCTATTAAAATAATAATAAATTCAGTTTGTGCCTGTGTTTCTATTTGAAGACAACTGAACTCCCTGCAGGTGTGCTGTGGTTGTATTGCCTTGGTGTTCTGACTTACTCTCATCTCACTCTGCATCGAGTGTTACCATTTACCAACTTTAGACCTAGATATTTCCCATAGATGTTGTTGGAGACCAAAACAAAGCTAAAAGAAGACTGGACTTATATTTGTGAGGTGGACACAGATGAGTACAAGGAATGTGTTTACACATCAATGACAAAAGCATTTTTGTGAGTACAGGAGCTTTATTTAAATAGTAATTTGTCATTACAAAATAATGAGTACATCAATTACATGCCTTATAAATATTCCACCATAATGTTCACATTAAACAAACTGTCACTGTGTTGCCTTTACATGAGTGCTAGAATCAATAAATTGAGAGAGGTGGTGAGCCACAGTTAAAGCTCTTCTAATATCACAATATAATCATTAGGCATAAGTCATGTCTGAGCTAAGAGTCATTAACAGAACATTAAGATTATATTTTAAAAAAGGATCTTAAGCAAATTATGAACTATTGAACAAAAATATTGATCCTCTTATAATCTGCATCAGCCACCAACTGAACACCATAAAAACAAAAAAATCTCAGACCACACCTGAACTTGAACTTGTTTTCCTCTTGAGTTCTGGAGCATGCCCCATTCAACAACACAATAGATCCGCATGCAAATAAGAATTCAAAGTGGCATGGGGCAGAAGGCACTTGAATTTACATACAGACCCAGCAACCTTGCTCTTCGCAGGATGAACCCAAATAGAGCAAGTCACTGTTGGCCAACAGATTTGCCTGTGTGATGGCAGTAAGGACCCGACATGTGGAAAAATACACAATGTAGGGCCTTTGCATCCGATTTGTGTGCACGCTGTGAAGGGAAACACATGGCACCGTGCTTGTCGGACAGTAGCTTGGGTTGACTGGGGTAGTTAGAATTTAAACTATACAGTAGTTTTTTGAAGAAGACATATAAGGCCATGGCACATACTGTACTGTGCAGTGTACACACACACACAGGGACACACTCAGGAGCATGCATAAAAAGCAGAACCATACAAGGCTTATCTGACAGTGGCAAAATAATAGCTAAGGACAGTTTTGGCCAAGTGCACTGTGGAGATGTAGTTTTAGACTAGATCTAATTGAGATGAACAAAATAACCATCTCCCACTGGCAATCACATCCACATGATTCACAGGCTACTGTTTAATGCAGACTTTGAGTTTTAGGCAAACATTTTTATTTCTTGGCTCCAGGCAAAATAAAAATACAATTAAATTCAATTACCAGTTTATCCCTATAAAATGGCATATTTTGCTGTTACATGCATATTTTTGTAAGGATTAAACAAACAACATAACATAGTGGGTTTTACAAGTGTCACTTGGCAGATTTTGTTCCATTAGCTGTTCCCCCTTTTTTATTTTTAAGCTAAGCTAAACTAATTAGATACTGGCTTTAGCTTCATCTTTAACCCACTGATATGAGAGTTGTATCAATCTTTTCATCTAAATAGCAGCAACAAGGCAAATAAGCTTGTTTTCTAAAATGTCATTTTAGGTTGCCTTCTCTTTAGGTGGGCTTGGTGTGTTCATCAAATTAACCTCCCAGCTGCACAGGAAAAGGAATGCATGTTTTAAAAGTCAGCCAAGCATCATGAAATGTGTCCAAACAGCTCATGCTGCCTGGACTGACCCAAATAAACTCACCTTTACAGTCATTAGGAATTGCCTGCCTGCCTGTCAGGAGGGCCTCCTGAAACCTCTTGTCTAAGGGGAGGAGCTTCCTGAGACAGAGGGCTACCTGTCACATGTATAGTCATTCTTTATTAGCTGTTAAGTCTACTGCTTTGGCTCCAACAATGTGCTGAGTCTATGCTCAGCACAAAATGATAGCTATCATGCTGACATGTCTCCTGTACACTCCTGAGTTAGTTTTCCCATCTGTTGATGATATAATATAATGTAGTTTCCTACAGGAATCTTCTAGAGGCTATCTCTACTTTTCCTACTTGGCGAAGTAGCCTGTATAGGGTGACAGCAGGTTGAGGGCAGGATTAAATGAAACAAGTTATTATTTCACATGTGAAAAATGCATCTTGGTGTACATCAGGATGTCAGTCACATGATCAACAATTGGTAAACACTGCTAATTTAGACTAGAACTCACTTTTTGATGATGCCTGCTATTGTCCTTGTCTTTTTTGTACAAATACAGATTTTATCCACATTTAAATTATGTCTTGTCTCAGAATTTGTTTGAGTAAATTTACTGGTATTTAACTTGCCACTAAGGCTCACTACACAACATGTAATCAATAGCATATTCTCTGTTGTCTATATATATGAGCTAACCTCAGACATAGCACACAGTCAGTGGGGAGCCAGAGTTAAGACTTACACTTACAGGATTTTCAGTTGGACTCCCCGTTTGACAAAAGACAAACATAAACCAAAACAAAAAAATCTATAATGCAGTCCACCACACTTGATCATACTGTATATATAAGCATTTATGCCCTAGTTTCCTTATTGGCAGTCATTAAGTGTGCTATCTTGATTGGCAGGCTTTAAGAAGCACAGGGCTCAGCGAGTACCGCCACCATTTCAACTCTCATTCTTTGCTGTTACTGCTGTTGTCAAGATCTTTGCACTGCAGGTCTCCTCCAGCGTAGCTAATGCCAGGGATTTTCATGCCAAACCTGTCAACACACCAACAGATCCCCCTTTTTCGACCACGAGATGGCTTACA